GGGGGGGGGGGGGTTGTAATTTTTGTCGATAATTTATTTTTGTGCGCAAAACGACACGTGAGATTTTCTAGATTTTTGGAAAATGGAATCGTTCCATTTCAACGAGCCATATGGGTACTTGGGTGGCAGCCTAATGTTGGGGGTGCGAGACAAATGGCCGGAATCCTACAGAATGGCGGATTGGGGGATGAAGAAATAGAAAAGAATATAAAAGGAGCCCCATGGCTCCACGGGGAGCTAGATTAAAACTTTCATGAGAATTCTACGAGACTGTTCCATCTATCGATTATCGATTGAGATATCGAAAAAAGAACAAGAAAAAAACACCTAAATATTTCAAATAATTTACCAAAGAGCTAAACCCACTCATTTGCAACCCTTGCGTCTCTAGCTAATCAATTGTGAATTTTCCTTGAAGCAATCAAACTAAGGAAAATAAAAAATTTTAATTCAAACTTCATTAACGGCGCCAGGAAATTTGTACACGATTTTTCTCGTACTGACATCAACCGTATATACATATATATATTGTAGCGCAATTCTTTTCCTTGACCCGACACCGATAGCGAAACATACGAGAACGAACTATCTTCAAGAACCAACCTAAGTTACCTTCGGCCGTCCACCCGTCGTTCGTGAATCCGCAAGCCAGGCGGGCGCCAGCCAATTTTTTTTTCACCGGGAACTGACGAGCCGGTGTAAATTGGGAGTTGGGGTGGAACAGGCCCAACTCCACCAAGAACGAGAGCTCTGACGGAACCTATCGGACGAGACGGTAGCTTAACGGATCCTGTCGATTTTTGGGGTCGCGTAAAATCAGCAAACGCTGGTGCTGGTGCAGCTAATCCGTGGAGGCCGAGAACCGTATCCAAAGGACACTCTGGTGAAAACTGCACTAAAGCACAGCACTACACCTCCGGAACACTCACAGGAAATCATAGAATTGCCTGGACATCGCGAGAACAACGCGAGAACTATACGAATCGAGAACTTGCTATACCGTAGCGAAACACGGCAAGAAAAACTATCAACAGATAGCACGGGAGCGCGAGCCAGCTCGTGACACCTCGGTCGGTGCCCCGAGACAGACTGCTTTGACAATAGCCAAATACAAGAACTAATCATTCTGATTAGTCGAGAGCCTTATAACCGTTAACTCTTCTATCTCCTTCGAGTCGTCCCTTTAAATCAAATCGAGAGCGTTCGTTAACGAATCGGTACGTATCTTCTGGAGATCCTCCACGGCCGGTTCCCCAGGGCATCGGGCTACAGCTGGGTACCACATCCTTAACTCGGCCAGAAGATTCGTCTCCTGTCCTTAACCGTATCACTGTACTCTCCTGTGCCGGGCAACTCGCAACTCCCCACGGCAGATTCGAGCACCTCGACCTCAAGTAAACAATAACGAAATCTTACGAGAGCCTTGACATAACTATACGAATCAACCCGAGAGCGTAGCTTCTGAGCAGGGTGGCGATCCGAAGGGAACCAGAAATCGAGAACGTTATCTGTATCGGTAACCGGAGCCGCCTTGGGACCGTGATTCGAAAAATCACGTCACAATATATATATATATAAATCTGACTTCAGTTTGATATGGTAATTTCTCAAGGAGTTTGCGAGTCTTCGCATAAGGAATAACAAATTCGCGCAATCAAGGGAATCTCCATGTATCCAAGAATAAATAACGAGGGATTTGATCGCCATCGATTATTCCATAGAAAATATCAAATATACGAACCCCTTGATATGGAAATGTCAGGGCTCCAGATACTACCGCTACGAACACGAGGCACTTGATCTGACTAAGGGAAAAATAATGATTTCCTAATCGCCACCCATCAATAGAAATCCTGCCAGGAGTTATCAAAGAAAGAATCCTGCAGTAAAAGGATAAAAAATAATTTCCAAGGAATAATAGATATGAGAAGCATACAAAAAGTCGTTACTCACCAAAGTAGAAAAAATAACGTAGCGAGGATGATGAAAATCTGAAAAAAAAATTTCATCGTCAATATCGATTAACCCACGAGCAGACATAAAAATTGAATAAAAAACATAAATATTTCATATCGGTACAGTAAATACGTATTTATTTGCATGAATTGAGCTTATTTAAAGTCAACGTTCAAAAAAAAATTTTAATACCTGAAGTACAGACTCACGATAAAGTTCATTCGATCGAATTTTGAGATTTTATTATTCGATAAATAATTATGAGTGACATTTTTTTATTACGAGAATATTAATAATTGAAGCGTAAATAGGGGCGTTCGTGTTAGGGGATCAACTACGATAATATAATTAGTACAAATTGTACTGTTAGACTATTATTACATAAAAATAATAATAACTTTGGTTAATGAATTAATGGTCGATCGCCGATGCAACACTTATCCCCTTAAATGTACATAATGTATAACAGTCCTTTAGCCACTTAAGCCAGACATCGCGAAGTCGTCGTAGAATGCTTGGGGCGTGTTTCTATGATGGGTCAAAGGACACGAAGAGGGTGAGATAACAGGATCTGCCTTGAAACAGGCTAGGAGGCAAACCACGTAAATTTAGATTGGATCCCATCAGACACAATAGATTTTATAACCTAATAACGCATTGTCAAACACCATGGGACAAACTATTGTTTACGAATTCCCCATATAAACGTACACCCGATTCAAAAGCCGCTGTTCATTTTCACCGCGTTAAATATATTTCTACAACAGATTCGCTAAGAATCTTAGAGGCTTCTAAGGTTTCCGACAGATAAAGTTCAAGCAGCGTCAACAAACAATAAGTGGATTCTCCATGGATCTACACAGAAACGAGAAGCCATTTTGTTATTACATAAGTGATAAGAAAATTCAAACCCAGGAATTAAAGTTCATTAATTTCTATCGTACCTAATAACCCAGTATGAATTCAACGTTTTAAGGTTACCTTGCATTCAAATATTCGCGGGCTGTCAGTGTCAGCTGTATCGAAGCCGATATATACGTGTCAGGATATATATTGGGATGATATAGGATCTCAGATGAAATTCCTGCAGGACGTTTTCGTTAATTAGCGATCCCACCAGGCACAAACCGCAAGACTGCCCAACGTCCCGATTCCCATAGCGACTGTCCCGGAAATTTCCATTACCGTAAGTGGCGCCATCTACCGAGTCGCCACGGTACTACGTACCGAAGCTCGAGAGCGAACGTCACGAAACTGTTAAGAAAATTTGAAAGTTCATAACCGCCTAGTGACTCGACACAATTTACAAATGCACAGGCAAGTGCACACGTGCTCGGGCACGTGCAACACGGTAAACGCACGTCTGTCGTTGAACTTGTGCTATTTGCGTAGCGACGGAGCCTTAATCCACGTTTATTGCTCTATTTTCCTTTGGACTGTTTGGATTGGTTTCCCGTGCCACCGAAATAACCAAACTCAACGACAAACGTTAATTCTACGGTGAGAACCTCGATGGTCTCTCCCGTTTATTATTTTAAGACGTGGCAATAGGTACGCGCGACATAGGACAAGAGAAAGAAGAAAAAAAGTATGTAAAAATCTTTCGTGCCAACTCGACTATGTCTTACGGGATATCTACTGAGCTAATGGCCGATCGTGTTGATACTTTATTAATTTAACGTTCACGAAAATGGATCTTCTTGTGCGGTTGTGAATTATTTCTTATAAGATGGACTATTTATGGATCGGCTGCATCGGACTGTACGCGAGTGAATACTTTTGATTTAACGTGAACGGTCAGTGTTGTGTCTATGAAAAACTTTATTTGGACGTAACTATAGCAACCAGCCAGGACGTGGCGTACGATTAGAGCGCAGTAGGTAAGTCCTAGGAAATTGACTATAATAAGTGCGTGATATACTACGGAGTTCTGGTAAGTTTGCAATCTATTTTAAGCAAGTTCAACGTAACTCGTTCTGCTTTTTCTCTCTTTATGTGCACAGTACAGTTTACGTGATTATCGCAAGTCTATTTCTTGACGTATTTAACGTGGCGAAGTGGCAATACAAATTTTTATTTTTTAATTGACACATGTTATTCGACAAGACAAACAAGTAGATCAAATTAGTACTAAAATTTACTATAACGTCTACTTCGCATTGCGCAACATCGAAATCAGTACGACGCTGCTCGCTAGTGGCAAAAGGCGGTAAAATTTGAATAACTTTATAAGAGATCCCGAACAAAGCTGCTTAAACGTACCGAAAGTAACACATAACCTCACTTAATGTGAGATGGAAGCTTCGCGTGGGATTTTATGAAATATTAAAAAAAGAATGTAAGGTGAAGGGGGGGGGGGATAATCGCTATAGGAAGACGTGAGGGGTCTAGTAAAATTGAAAGCTAGGACTTGAGGTTGAATATTATAGGAGTTATTGGGGGGTGGCGGAGGGTGGAAGAGCGAAGGTACCGACCGAACATAAAATGCAAAATGGCAGCGCAAGGCACGCAGCAGTAAATGCGAGTAGCTATAGCCCCAAGCTTTATTTTCGCATTTAATGGCGGCGTTACGAGACCGTCGCGCGTTTACCTACGAGCTTTTAACGGGCGGGGGCGCCATTTTCCTGCTACTGAAATACCCAGAGAAAATTAAACGAAGAGTCGATATAATGTCCCTCTCATGGGAACGAATTTACGGGGGATGAAAATACCTTCGATTCTCTATGCCTATGTATAGACGTATTTCTTATACAAGGCGTGCAAGATATACAATCCATGCAAGAAGTTTTGTGACTCCAGTGTGAACGAAGCCTAAGGGGACACGTGATACAGCTAGGAACATCTCACAGGAAGGGTTGGCTGCTTAATTGTCGGGAATATGCGGCCAGGATCGCGTTAAACTACCCCTATTACGAAACCCCGTGAGAATGAAAGAGAAAGAGAGGGCGAAGGGGGGAGGTGGAAGTGGGTGACGGGGATACAGCAAAAGAGAATAGAGGATATCGCAAAGTTCAACCTAATGAAAATGGATGCGGGTGTTTCGAATTTTCGCGCCTAATCCAGACGCGATGGTTTTGTACTTAAGGGATGAACTATGCGTTTCCACGAGTATCTCGAATTTACCTCGTTAATAAGCTTACTGGATTTTACTGGTAATGTCTGCTGGACTTTAATGCTTATTGACCGGACGCTACCCTTAATTTAAAAAAAAGCACTGCATGAGAGAAAAAGGAAAAAGAATGAAAAAATGACTTCTGTACTAGGATTCGCTTGTGCGGTTTTTTTTCACCCTTTAAAGTTACGACCAAACGGAAAGTATAAAGTTTACAGTCAGCTGGCAAGGTACTCTCTCGTAACTTAACATTTACTCCGACCCGAGGACTACGGCTAAACCCTTGACTTTATTACTTGCGAAAAGGTTTCGTTAGTCTTTTTCTTTTTTTTCTTTTGCTTTTCACCCTACGACCCTTACCCTATTTCGTTTTTCGTCCTGCCACTCGGTATCCCAGATAAGCGCGGAGCTTTTCGGGGAGATTTTGTTATCCCTCGTAGCTGGTCGTTCGTTGTTTGGAAATCGACGAGAGGGATGAAAACGAAAAAAAAAAAAAATGGATCAGAGCTTTGGAGCGGTCCATTACGATAGTTAGAAAATTCGAGAAATTCAAAGTTAGAAAAATGTGGAAAAAAATTTTTTGTTGAAAAATTCACGATCACGACGGAGAAAGGGATTTTTTTTGCGAATTAAAAAAGGACGAAATCGTTATACCAATCTCGAGGATGACGTGACAGGAAATACGGGTAAACGTATCGCTGACTGGAGCGAAGGTAGTTAGGGGTTGGTATAGCCTAGGTCGAGGGGTGGTACCGGTTTTAGGGCGGTTTGAGGGCATTGCGGTCCAGAGCCCGACAACGTGAATCTCGTTAAGGGTGGATGGGTGGAAGGACGGCGCTGTTCGAAATTCATTCAAACTGCAAATGAAAGCACGTCGGTGCACTTCCGTGCGGCTATCTCGATTTGCTTAAATGGCGAACTGAATGGCCGAGCTGCACTGTACTTTTGAATAGTGCCCGGCAGTGCCCGGAGCAAGCACGAAGCCCGTAGCGCCGTAAAATTTCCCTGGTATTCACTTTGAGAATTTCCTATCCGAATAACTACAAAAGATGGAAGAATTCGCTGAAAGCACATCTAGCCGCATTCTCGAGCACTTACTATATACATGTCCACTTGAAAAATTCTCAATAAACCAAACAGTCCCGTACCACGGGTCAAATACGTCAAAATTTTTTTTCACGTTATTCCATTAAAAAAAAAAATTATACAAAAAATTTTTCCACATTTACCTAAAGCACAAGTATTTTTAAGATATTTCGGTATTCCGTAGAGTTTCCTAAAATCTAAGTAAAGTTTCACTATACCCATATACAGGGTGTACAGGTATTAATGGCTAGCATTTATTCGCAGGTACCTTTCAACGGCGACATTTCGCTTGGAGCCCCGATGCTGCCGTTATTTTCACTTGGACGAATGAAACTGACTCGACCGATGCGGAGTACAGATACAGGCAATAGGAAACGAGGAGGACGTACGGATAAGGGGTATCTGGTTAAGAGGAATGGACCCGGTGGATGCTGAGAGCGAAGAGAATCGTAAACGAAGTGAAATTAAAGACAAAGGTCTGTGTCGCCTCCTAGGGGATGCTTTTTGTATCTGAATGATCTTCTTTTACTTCCGGCTCCTTCTAACTTTTAGAATTCATCCCGAAGGACCCCAACCACGACAATGGCGTAGGACGTCCGTGAAGTACTCATTCTCGTTCTCACTGGTCTCCTCGTTCCACCCTCTGCGCACCCCATTTCCCACACCCTTCTCATTCAATCAATACCCGATGCCGCACACCGCTACTAAACTTCCAGGACCTTCCCAGCCAGCCAGGACGCCATCTCGAGGATCCAGTACTACCAGGATCCTCCGGGAGAGCGAACTTGAAGATCTTCCAATCACATAAAAAAATAAGGATTGAACTACAATTTATTGAAAAGTAAAAAATTTCTTTATCCTTCTTCAAGGATCCTTAGTAAATTATTCTTGTTTCGTTGATAATAACGGGTGTACTGTAAAAATTCACTGATACTATCAAATTACAGGACATACCGAAGCTACAGGATGTATTGACTAATAGGAACTTGAAGGTATCCTGGAAAAATCATTTCATGATCCTACGCCTATAAGCATGGCTAATGGGCAGACAAGGATAATCCAATAATAGCCTTGAATATTCTAGGAGACGTAAAGGAGGTCCTGTCCGTGATGCCCAGGGTGTGGGATCCAAATGGTTCCATTAGTGGGCAGGAGTCGCGTCTGTGTTCGCTGAAAGGTACATTGTCAAGCCACTGTACCAGGACACAGGATGTAATTACACGGGAGGCCTAATGTACAAAGGATTTCGGCGTACGTTTCCAGTCAGACAGGCAGGAGGGAAGGTACGCAAGGAACCAGACAGCCTGCCCGGCTGCCCGCCCAGGTCCTTGGGACGAATGTTGGATCAAGTGGGTTACGCGACGGTATCGCAAACGTTTACAGAGGCACGACGGGATACGTTATCTTGTCCATTAGCAACATCAGCAGGACACGTGACTCACTTCACTCCCAATTACCAGAGACAGTTCATTAGACCCGGGACTGTGTCAATCAAGAGCTGACAGTGGCGACCTCTGGTGGAAAGAGACAAAAATACAAATCCAAACTATCCAATAGTAAAAATACTGACAAACAGTCAAAACTTACCAACGTGAAGTTGGCGCTCTTCATATAGCCAACTTCAGCTCATTGGTCCTACCGACCAACTTCCACGGAAACGAACGAAACTCCGAAGCAGCTTCGCCCGTTAAAATTCACTTCCAATTAACAGCGGCTAAGCCGCGAAGAGTCGCCGACAGCGTCAAACAAGTGCAGTTCATAGGTGCAATTAAATTATGGGCAACCATCAAGCGTGGGTTCGTTAGGTCGTCCGGGTAATTTTTGTGGATACGCCCGAAAGGACAGGACGTTTTCAAACCCCCCGAAAAAAAACAACCCCTGCTCGAGGGATCTGCCTCTGATACATACCGACAACGTAGTATCACGTATGGACTATATATGTATATCAAAATCGACGTAACTCGTATCCCACTCAGATTCTGTACACGATTGCCAGAGAAAGCCCAGGAAGCGTTACGAATTCACGAGGGTCTCCAGAGTTTCATTGGAGGACTCTATCGGTAGGATAATCTACCCCGTGACTGGTACATGTGTTTTAGGGATGATTAGCCCTCGAGCAACTAAGCAAACAGGGATTATATCCAAAGGCAATATCGATAAGTACACATCCCCCGTTAAGACTGTATACATTATCATACACGCGTTATCAGCCGAGATTGTTTACCCCTTGTCAAATATTAATTAATTTTATTAATATAATAATATTTATTATCACAGCCCAGTGGCGACTTCCTATAAAAATAACGATTTCGTTAATGGAGTCTATCGGCTCCGATTGACCTAATCGTAATTAAAATCAAAATCTTAACGTCGTACCTTTATAACCCTGATTAGTGGTTATCACCGAGGCTCTTGTGAAACTCGAAATAATTATTACGTAACGTCGTATTACAGCCATGGCGCGTACATAAAACTGATAAAAATCGGCATTAAGGTACAGAGAGGTCGCTGCACTAGGGGTCGTTTTTATCGTCGGCAAATAGAGATAAGGGTCTTATCAGGCAGTGGGATTTTAATGCGGTTTCCTGACAGAGATGCATTTAAAGTGCATCGAGGACTCGAAGTCTGCATAAGGAAAATTAAGTAAACGGCTGGTATGTCAGTTAGGTAATTTAAAGAAAAAAAATGCAGTTTCTTATGCGATTCACGCTTACGAGCAGCGGTTCATTATGCAATTTTCAAAGCCTACAATGACGTCTAGACTGAGACGGTTTTAGGTAATTTCATCGAGAGCCTCGATCTGGGTGGATGGTTGGTACCCCTGAGAAGGGGTTGCAAGTGACAAAGGACAAGGGCTGTAATCGAAAACCGATAATGCAACGATGCATCAAACCGACCACCACCACCGGCACACACTTCCAATCCGGCCGAGTCGGATTATGCAACCAACCAAAGTGCATGCTTGCATAGCTAGATAGTAGATGAAATTCCGAATCAATGTTTCATAAATAAATTGCTCGTTACAAGGGTTTACATATACAGTATATATATTGTATATAATTTGAATGTAGTCATAACGTAAGCACACGCTAGATATGCACGTAGCCAATGGCACCGATTGCGTCATCGAATTGCACAGTAGCATCGCGGTTTGTATTGTTAATTGCCCGATACAATTGTTTACGGGCTAGAAATTATGCACCGATAACGATGCAATTTTCACTTGCATGTTTGGAAATCGGACGAATCACCGAATATATTCTGAATTTGTTTATCTAAAGTTTGCCTTTACTTCATTCGTTTGTCCGCTGCAGATTCGTATCCGTGACACGTGGGGTATCGATATTTAAAAAATCATACAACTTTTTTATCCCTCAAACGGAACCTCGATAAAACCGCAGTTTTTTTTTCGGGGAGCCCATTGTCATATCCAAATGCAATCCGACTGCAATATAACGGTGCAATCATTTGGTGCAGCGGTTCGAGGACACAATGGATACGAAAATAAAGAACGGACGCGTGGGCGTCTGGCGTCGGGACGCAAATGGACGGGGGGAGGGGGGAGGGGGTCACGAGCAAAAAAAATGCATTATCGAAACGTCACAATGACGGACGGATTAAAATTGATACTTCTCGTCAAAGGGGTATAAAAATAAAAAAAAAGTAAACGAAAAAAAAAAGTGCATCCATATAGGATTCCTTTAAATGCTAGTCGAAAATTAATTTTCCCTGCTCTTTGTCTCGCCTTTTTCCGTCGTACCCTGGTTGTTATATTTTATTTGAATTTCAAATTTTTTTTCTTTCCCCCACTCTCACGCTACTTCCGGTCAATCGCAGAGCCTCTACGATTCTGCCTCTGCAGTTCCTGCAGCCTGCAGGAACTTCCGGGAGACGAGGTAACAAGAAAAAATAAAAAACAGACAGACAATATAAAAAAAAAATTGAAAATCAATTCTTTCGTGTTCTCGTGACTTGCTTGAATTTTTCCTTGGGGTCAAAGGTTACAATGAGAAAAGGCCGGAAGCTAAAGGTTTTTAAGGGTCGCTCGTTACTTCCGAATTCCTTCTTATGCATCCTCTCCCTTTATCTACCCTCGGTGATTATCGGTTATCGATTTCACATCGACCTTAATGCCAGTCGTGTGCTCGAGTGAGTGTCGATTTTTGCCTGCAAGAAATTTTAGTTTGACGTTTTGAGAGCAAAAAAATTTTTTTCAATAATACGAGGACTCGTACCAGCAGATATGAGAGAAACGGAAATGAACACCACGTGTCTGGGTAAACAGAAACAGTATGCATTGTGTCTATATGAGTTCGGAAATTACTGAATGCGTGTATACCATATATATACATATATATATTCTAACGTATTTTCTGAATTAGACACCGATAACGAAAATCCAAAAACTAACCTACGTCACCTTCAGCCGTCCACCCTACGTCCATGCATCCGCACGTCAGACGTGATCACGAAAAATCGACTCACCATATATAAATATATACACATGTATATGTATGTATGTATACGTGAAATTGAACTTTGCTCAAACACGATTATGAATTTTTACCGAAATATGATCTGATAAGCACGTATTTATTTACATATTTTTCATCGTCGTATTTTCGACACTGTTCACGAGGCATATCTTTTTATTTTCATTTTTTCGTTTAAGGTGAAATTTAATTTCACAATGGTGGTGAATTGATGAAAAGTATTAAAATGAAAATACGTAGCGAATTTCATTAATGTATTCCGATCCGTATTATATTGCATTGCACGAAGAAAGGAATGAAAGAAAGAAAAAAATATGAAAATAAATATTTTCAATGAAACGTATATATAGATTCCGTGATATTGTCAGGGCAGTGTCAAGAGGCTACGGTCGCCCTGTGCTTCTCTGCGAGGGGCCACCTTCGTATTGCTTATAGAGTGGTAAGAGTCCCCTGAGCATGAACCTAAAGACGTAACTCGACTGCGCTGGAGTAAATAGAGAAAAATAAATGATAGGAGACGTCGGAAAGTAAATAGCAGACAGTAGGAAACGTAGACGTACGATATAGATATACAAAATGGTATTACAGTTTGCTGGGTACATACGTACGTATGTACTCTTGCTGTGTGTCTGATCCTGAGTTTCGAAGGGTAGGAAATGTTCGCTTGGAGCCCTTGACGAGGAACTTGAAACCACCCTTAGAACGAGCCCGGCCGAACTACCCCTCGCCGAGGAATACGTACAAAGTGTCGGCGCGCCTTTCGTTTCCGTTAGACGTGAAATTTCCTTGCTACCCAGCAGCCTGACCCTCATCGACAATTTTTAGCACGATATTCGAGATAAATTTCGATTTCATAATAAAAGACAAAAAAAAATTATAACAAGGAAAAAAATGAAAGTTAGTCCTGAAGAGAGAGATTTGGAAATGAAAAAAAGTCAAAAAAAGAAAGGATAGGCTGGTCAATTTACGGGGGATGGATTTTTCGTGAAATAGAGAAAATTGCAGGAAAATTGTATCGGTCGATAAAAATTTGCATGAAAATTGGAAAAGGCAAATTTCACCCCTCACTCCCCGCGTGCAGACAGCAGCGAAATTGTACCTATTATGGAATTCAAATTTTTTAAATGAAATTTTCAAAAAAATATTTCAGTCTCTAGAACGCTTAACGTCACACGTGATCATCGTGCGTGTACATCTGAGCGTGTACATCGAACGACCGATAAACTGGAATACCCGGAAGTGTAATTAAAACTGGGTGAAATAAAAAAGTGACAAGTGCACGGAAAAGCGGGTTTTTGGAAAAGGAAGCAGAGTAGGTATGCAGATTTGACGGGTTAGCAGTGGATATAGTCGGCAAGTTACTCGACGTAGGAAGGACACAGAGAAAACGACGCCTGGCCGACGCCAAGGATCAAAGGAAGTCCTGCAGGAGAGTGTGGACCTAGTACTGGAAGCTGCTGGGGCTGCCTGGGAATCGTTAAGGATCTTGGAGATGGGGGTTCAGGATACTTGCCTAGGCTGAACTCATGCCAAAGGACTTTCCAGGATGGTGAAAAGCGGAAAAGCAGGAAAATGAGGGAAAAGCTCGCCTCCTGAACAACCAAGGGTAAACGCCTTGCGTCTGGGCGTCCATCGATAACGCTCATTTTATTTTTTATTTTTTCTTCTCTTTCCATCTTATTTTCTTCCCACTTTGATCTTCCTTTATTTTTTTCTTTACTCTATCATCACCATTCATCCGTAATCCTGCACCTCTTAATCCTTGCTCCTTTAATCCAGCCAAGATACACAGTAACGGCGCTCCCTGCTATGTATATCTGTACATATGTCGTCAAGGATTGCATATATTATAGCACGTATATATATCATACGACAGGGTGAAATCGTTTTCCCGTGCATTTTCCTATAAATCAAGAGAAGTTTATCCAGCTTTAGTGCAAGAGTGAAAAGAAAAGAAAATTCAGGAAAAAATTAATAAAAAGAGAAAAAGTTAAAAAAAAACGTGGGAAGAGGGTACGAGAATCTTCTGTTTTAATTCGAAGTAAGATAATTGTAAAAAAAAGAAAAGAAAATAATACCAAAAAATAAGTACGAGAAGCGTTTGGCTTTCAGTTTTCATTGCTGGGTAGTTTTTTTCTTTTGTTTTCCAAGAAAATGGAAAACTGCCGATTGGGACGGGAAAATTGGAAAGTTTCAAAGCCATGAACTACCCACGAGTATAGATACAGGAGCGAAGAACGTAAAGCTGGGTGAAAGAAAAATTCAACATTTTCCATGAAATGGAAAAAGTTTTCAATGAGAAAACCAGCACTGTTACCAACTTGGTGACAATTCGTCCCAACGAAACTTTTCCTAGTCGCGTTTAACGCGTCGTGTCTATGGAAATTCTTGGTCGTCTTCAAGATACCACTCCCGTACACGAACCCGAGTTATTCCGACTTTTACCGAAGTCTCCCGAAGTAACCAGCGATCAACAATATACACAGACTCTCAACATAAGTAAAAAAAAAAAAGTTAATCCCAAATATAATTAGCAAGTTGAAGCATTACCATAATGAAATTTGTCGCTTTCATTTCGTTTATCCGAGGCAGGTTGGCACTTCTGAATTTGTCCAAATAAAATTATCCAGCGAGATAAAAGAGCCAGACAGAATCCTAATTGCGTCTCAGGGGTGAACGGATAGATTATTTTCGCGAAAAAGTATAAATTTCATTCAGCCTATTTTTCCTGCCATTGCAATTATTATCATTATAAAATCGTATCACAGTCTGTCAAATAAAATATACATCGAAGGGGCCAACTTGACACGAGTTCCCATATAAAAGAGTCCCCCAGGTCTTGCGTGTTACAGAAATACAAGTAGCCAGTTTGCGATTTCTGCGGTGACGAATTTGCCAATATTTTTATGAATTCGCAACACTTGCTTCTCAGGTTAAATTAGATTAGCCAAAATCGATTTCTAATGATTATTACAGTAGATGCCAAGAAATCCCGACAGACGGAAATCCGCTTGACATCGAAGGTCTGGCTTAAATACTTAACGCGAGTCTCTGGGCCGTGAAGCGTGAATCTCGCGAAATTCGTAGATTCGCACGTAAAAGGATGTGCTGCAAATTATTCGAGGGCGGATCCCTTTTAAATATTCAACGAGAGTCGACTGGGTTCTCTGTCGAAAATCGTTAATTACTCGGACGTGCATAATCGTGATGAAAAAAAAAAAATCCCTAAAAAAATCTAACCTACCCTTACAGGCTGAATTGTGCATTTCCCTTGCAAAGAAGGCATCTTCGTTCACCCTGATACGCGACAGCAGAATAAAAAAGTAGGAGATACTTTTGTAAAAAAAAAAAAAAAAAAAAAAAAAAAAAAAAAAAAAAAAAAAAAAAAAAAAAAAAAAAAAAAAAAAAAAAAAAAAAATCCATTTAATCGCCAAAAAAAGGATACTGATTTAGACAATTTTTTTCCCCTGTATTTTTGCACGGTGTTCAAAGTTCCCATGGAGGCGACACGAGCGAAAGGGTCGAATTGAAAAATTCGCATTCCCATGATACATCCTCAATGCAAATTTCACTGGGCATTAATAATGCATAAAAGCCCAAGTGCAATTTGCCGTTACACGCAACGGCAGCGCAGCGCATATAAAATTCACTGAATCTTACAGAGATAATAAGTCTCCTTATCGCGGGATCGTTTCCTGCCCGAAATATACGAAAATTTCGCACGGAATAATCGCGCGGGCCCGATTATTCGGCAAACTCGCCATTATTAACTAACCGGTCACGCGTTCGTGATCGCGAGGATGCATCGCCACATGTGCACATACGTGGATGCATATTTATGGCACCATCTCACGCGCGATACCTCAAAACAATCAAATTACGTGCGAAGTCAATGAATCGTCGTTAATTTAACAAATCCACCCCAAAAAAATCACAAATACACAACCTGATCAAACCTAACAGTAAAATACAAGAAATGCAAAAATCAGTGCCAATATTATCAAGTTGCCAAATTC